ATTATTGGGTTGGCCAAAAAGTTCATTTGGATTTTTCTATAAGACGTTACGGAAAAACCTGAACGAACTTTTGGCCAATCAACAGTACTGGACTATGACCTGGCTGCTGCTGCTGCTAAGTTGCTTCAGTCGTGTCTGACTCTGTGCGAACCCACAGATGGCAGCCCACCAAGCTCCGCAGTCCCTGGGATTCTCCAGGCAAGAACACTGGAGTGGGTTGCCATTGCCTTCTCCTGGAGTATAAACTAAATACCTGTAAGTCCATATTGGTATAAACAAACAAATGAATAAGGGAGAAAAGACAAATCTAGGGTGTAAGAAATACAAATAAATTATGTAGATACTCACAACTCAAAGAAGTGGAGCAAACTCTCCACTCCTCAAGTGTGACTCCACATAGTGACTTCTTTCAAAGACTATGGTATACAGAAAGGGGGAAGGAGAAGAGTGACTTTACAGCAGAGAAACACGACAGACACTATGTCAGCCAAGTAAGTGATCAAGGTTCACACCAATAATGTAAGTCATGTTGACACCCTTGATTATGTTGTAATGAAAATGGACCTTTATCTCTGCAGTCTTTCTCTCAAAAACCTATAACCCCAACCTAAGTATGAGAAAATTCCCTACCAAGGAACATTCTACAAAATCTCTAACCAGTACACCTCAAAACTGTCAAGTTATCAAACACATGGAAAGTCGAAGACACTGTCACAGCCAAAGAGGTAAAGGATACATGTTCATGAAATGTAACATGGTATCCTGAATGCTCTCCTGGAACAGAAAAGGCACAAGCTACAAACTAATGAAATCTGAATAAAGTATGGACTTCCATTCATTATACTGTATCAATATTGGCTCATTAATTGCAAAATCTGTACTAGATTAATGTAGGGTATTAACAGTAGGGAAACTGAGTGATGGGTTTATGAGAACTCTATGCACTGTTTTTGTAATCTCTCTGTAAATCTAAAACTGTTGTAAAATTAAAAGGTTATTTTTTAGGGGCTTCCCCAGTGGCTAAGACTCTGTGCTCCCAATATAGGGGGCCTGGTTTCAATCCCTGGTCAGTGAACTAGGTCCCACATAGTGCAACTAAGGATCCCACATACCATTACTAAAAAAGATCCTACATGCCACAACTAATACCCAGCACAGCCAAATAAATAAATAACAATTATATATATATATATAGCTATTTTTAAAAAGAGGAGACACATTAACTGTGTCAAAAGCTGATAACAACAACAAAAAAGACAAAACCAAGGGCAGTTTCAAAGAATTAATGGAGTCAAAAGCCAGATGACATCAGGCAGAAAAGTGAATAAAAGCTGAGAATGGGACTATAAGTATATACAGCTTCTTCTAAGAAGTTTGATAAAGATGGGGAGAATAAATCAGAACCAGAAGTAGAGATTAAGCTGAAGAAAGTGTTTTTTGTTTTTAACCACAGCATAATTCACATACACTAAAATTCATCTTTTAAAGTGTAAAATTCAGTGGTTTCCAGTATATACACAAGGCTGTATAACTACAACCATTATCTCTGGAACATTTTCAATACTTCAAAAAGAAATGATAAAATTATCCCACTACTAGGCACATACCCTGAGAAAATTGTAATTCAAAAGGACATATGTACTCCAATGTTCATTGCAACACTGTTTAAAATAATTAGGTCATGGAAGCAACCTAGATACCCACTGACAGATACATGGATAAAAAAGTAGAGTTGTATGTACACACATACAAACAGTGGAATATTACTCAGCTATAAGAAGGAACAAATCTGAGTCAGTTCCAGTAAGGCAGATGAAACTAGAGATTATTATATAGAGTGAAATAACTCACAAAGAGAAAAACAAATATGGTATATTAACGTGTGTGTGTGTATATATATATGGAATCCAGAAAAATAACACCAATAGACCTATTTACTCGCAGGAAAAGAGAAACAGACAAAGAACAGACTTGTGGACACAACAGAGGAAGGAGAGAGTGGGATGAATTGATAGAGTAGCACTGAAACATTTACATTACCATATGTGGAACAGTTAGCTAGTGGGAAGTTTCTGTATAATACAGGGGGCTCAATTTGGTGCTCTGTGACAACCTAGAGGGGTGGGATAGGGTGGAGGGTTGGAGGGCGGCTCAAGAGGGAGGGGACATATGTATACTCATGGCTGATTCATTCTGTTGTATGTCAGAAACCAACACAACCCTGTAAAGCAATTATCCTCCAATTAAAACAAAATTTTTAAGTAATTACTTAAAGAAGTTGAGTATGTTCATAAATAAGAAGATACAACACTATTAAGATGTCAATAAAACCAAAATGATCCAGAGATTCAATGCAATTTTTATAAAAAAAAAAAAAGCCTTTTTCACAGAAATGGAAAATGTAAACTTCAAATTCATGGGGAATTGCAAGAGTTCCTACATAGCCAAAACAATCTCAGAGGAGGAGGACTCACACTTTTCCAATTTGAAATTACTACAAAACTACAGTAATTATAACATTATGGTACTGACATATGGACAGACATATAGACCAATGGAATAGAATAAAAAGCCCAGAAATAAATCCTCACATATATGGCCAGTTGATTTTTGACAAGGGTGTTAGTTAATAAGATCATTCAATGGTCAAACAACAGTCTTTTCAACAAATGCTATTGGGAAAACTGGGTATCAGTTTGAGTTTATATCATATACAAAAATTAACTCAAAATGGATCAAAGACCTAAACTAAAGAGCTAAAATTATAAAATCCATAGAAGAAAACACTGGGAAAAATCTTCGTGACACTGATTTGGCAATCATTTAATAGAAATGACAAAAAGCAGAGGCAACAACAACAACAACAAATAGATTAATTAGACTTCATCAAATCAAAGAACTTTTGGACATCAAAGGATACTATCAAGAAAGCAAAAAGATAACCTAATGAATGGGAGAAAATATCTGCAAATCATTTCTCTCATAAGGAATTAATATCCAGAATGTATAAAAAAATTCCTAGAACTCAACAACAAAACATAAATAATCCAGTTAAAAAATGAGCAAGTGTCTTCTTGAATAGAGATTCCTACAAAGATACATGAATAGCAAATAAGCACATGAAAAAATGCTCAATGTCACTAGTCATTAGGGAAATGCAAATCAAAACCACAGTGAGATATCACTTTACATACACGGTTGCCTCTGATAAAAATTATATGTTTGCAAGGATGTGAAGAAACTGGAACCCTTGTACACTGTTGATGGGAAGGTAAAATGGCATAGCTTCTATGAAAACTGAAACACCAATTCCTCAAAAAAATTAAAAATAACAGAATTAACATATGACCCAGTAAGTTTGCTTCTGTGAATATATCCAAAAGACCCAAATGCAGGGTCTCAAAAAGATATTTCTACTCTCACGTTTATAGCAGCATCATTAACAACAGCTAAAATATAGAAGCAACCAACAGGTCCATCGATAGGTGAGCAGAGAAGCAAAATGTGGTACACAGTTATAGCAGAATAGAACTCAGCCTTAAAAAGGAAGGAAATCCCTTGAGGACACTAAGCAAAGTATGCCAGTCACAAAAACACAAATATGGTGTAACTCTTCTTATACAAGCTACGCAGAGTAGTGAAAATCATAGATACAGGAAGTAGGATGGTTCTTGACAAAGGCTTAGAGGAGGAAGAAACAGGGAGTAGTTGTTTAATGGGTGCAGAACTGGAGTTTTGCAAGATGAATAATTACAGATATGAATGGTGATAATGGTGGCATAACATGAATGTACTTAAATACCACCAAATCATACACTTAAAAATGGCTGAGGTGTTTTTATTTTATGTTTTGTGTTTCTTACCACAATTTAGAAAACTGAGGAAAAAATGAGAAGCATTCAAGGCTTCAAGTACCTCTTTCACTGTTTGCTGCTGCTGCTGCTGCTAAGTCACGTCAGTCATGTCCGACTCTGTGCGACCCCATAGACGGCAGCCCACCAGGCTCCCCCGTCCCTGGGATTCTCCAGGCAAGAACACTGGAGTGGGTTGCCATTTCCTTCTCCAATGCATGAAAGTGAAAAGTGAAAGTGAAGTCACTCAGTCGTGTCCGCCTCTTCGCGACCCCGTGGACTGAAGCCTACCAGGCTCCTCCATCAATGGGATTTTCCAGGCAAGAGTACTGGAGTGGGGTGCCTTTGCCTTCTCTGCCACTGTTTGCTAATACTTCTAAATTCTTAGAATACTTCTAGAGACCATTACAACTATTAAGCTGGACATTTTTATACTGAAATAGATTTCTTTAGCCTTCTGTCCACCTTAGACATATAAAGCCTACCTTAGACATAAAGCCTTTGAGAAAGCTGATGTTTCTCTCCTAGCTATCTGCACTGTAATAGCAGACACTGTTTCCACCATTGCATATGTACAATGGAAAAAATTCAAACATATGCAAGGGAAGAGAGAAAAGAATAATGAAACCTCATATAGCTATCACCCAGCTTAAACAATTAACCAACTCATATCCATCCACTCACTTTGCTCTTTTTTTCCCCAGTGGATTATTTTGAAGCCAATCCCAAACATCGTATCAATTCAACCATAAAGATTTCAGTATCTCTACTTACTAAAAGATATTGTTTAAAGATACTGACAGTTTCCTGCACAAGTTCTTGTACTGGTGGGTCAGATTTAGGATATACACATTCCTCCAGTAAACCATGTATTAGAAAAAGGAATTAAATATATTCATTCATTCTACTGTATTCTTTACAAGTTAAATCACTGAAAGTAGGGTCTCTCAAACATACACACACACACCCTCTCCTGTTCCATCTCTCAGAGGTAACTGAGTTTTAAAGGATAAAAGTTATTTGGTCTATGATAACACAGTAATATTATATTATTATACACAAAGTAATTCTTCATGTAGCTGCATATTTTATAAAACAAATGCAGTAAAACTAGCCTGATGCAGAAAATTTTTATTCAACTGTCCTTACCTTTGGTTGGACTGAGATTCTGATCTATAAATCCTCTTAGTTCTGCATTTGTAGAATTCAAACCAACCTGAATAAAATAGTTTAAAAAATTATAAATAAGATTTTAAATAATATATGATCACTTAATAAGCCATTATTAATAACTTCCCACCAGAAGTCCATATCAAGTATTATACATACATAAGTCCATATCAAGTATTATACATACATAAAGATGAGCTAATTATATCAGATATAAGAACAGAGTTAAAATGCTGCCATACTGCTTGAAATGGGAAAAATACTGCATTGTCCACATTAAGATAAAAGTTAATGAAATAGTGTTACTTGTGAGCAGAAGTGAGAGCTACACATTTTACTGATGGCTTTTTTTCTTAAGCAAGTAATGTAGCAGTTGTGAAGCTGCCAAAACATGTACCAAAATTCCACCCTCACTGCTGCCCACCAACATGCCTCTCCTTTTTAAGCTCTTCTACAAAAAGAAAAGAAAGGTGAAACTCTTGTTGGTGCTCTACTGTAAACAGAAAGCAAAGAAGGCAAAGGCAGCCTTTAATACATTCCATGCTTAATACAATGGAATTGTTTAATCCAAGTATTACAATAACTTCAAAAGCATCAGTTTATACCTTTTTGTTATTATACAAAAGTAACGGCAAAAACCTCAACTAAAACCACACATTCACAGTCCAGAGTTCACAGTTACTGGATTACTGCTACATTTAAACACCTGCTCTTACTGCTCAACTTCTGCAGAGTGAAGTAGCAAACGAATTCGGAAACTTTTAAGCAGCTGTACATCTGTGCCTTTGTAACCAACAGATTATACTCTAAAAAGATAAAGGTCAACTCTAGATCAACAGTGTGTGTAAACTGGGTCTCATGGACGGAGAGGAGGTGTTTGTATTTAGAGCTTAGATAAATACTACTAAAATGTTTAAGTTCAAACTTCAAAAATATATTAATTTCTGTTTTGATAAACACAGTTTAAAGGTGCAAAGAAAAAATAGATCATTTGAGAGTAGGAAAAGTTCGCGAGGAAAGGCATTTTAAAATATTAGCTATTCTTTTCTTATTTTATGTATTTAAAAAGGACCTCTCTATATAATGTGTCACAGATCAAGAGAAGAAAAGTAAACTCGTTTTACATAAAATTTTTCATCAAATAAGATCCTGAGAAAAGTTTTCTATCTGGATGTTCAAACAATGTGTTGCCTAGTGTAAGCAGTCATTGTCTACTGAATAAAAAATGTCCAAAGCTTAAATGTTTGAGTCAAATGCTACTCCCTAAGAATAGCAGTATAATTTCACTGATATTTAATGTTTCAGATAGATATAACTGAAAGAAAACAGGATTCAAAGCGAGATAATCTGTGCTCAAAGTTTACCTCTACCATTCATTCACAAGCAAGGTGTTCATGCAACATTGTCATGGGAATGACAATACATAAACATACAACAAACTCAGGTAGCTCTTTAAACCAAATTAAAAAATTATGTAAACATGTTCATTAATGCAAAGCAGTATTCAAGTCTGAGTTGTTAACTCAAAGGGCAACAGGTTTATTACTTTAACACTGACGTAGACAATTCATAAGAGAGACACAAATGATCAATGAGTATATAGATAATAATATATGTAATACCAGTTTGATCTAACTAGCAGTCAGAGAAATGTAGCAATATATGTATTGTATATGTATGTAATATACCATTTTTTGCTGACTAGATTGACAAAGATTAAAAATAAAATAAAGGGGAACTGGCACCTTCATATACCAATGGTGAATATACAATTGGTGGTCTTTCTAAGATTCAATTTAGTAATATGAATCAAAGGTCCCCTAAAAAGTACATGCCCTTTGGGCCAATAATTTTGTAAGATTTTTGTTTCACAGAAATAACCCAATGAATTGACAAAAATTAAAAAGTTAAAAAAGGGAAAAAAACACGAAAATAATGGCCAATATTAGGAAACTGGTGTAAGGTCCATAGAACAGATAACATTAAAAAGCCATTTAAAATGATGTTACAGAGTTATCAAGACAGGAGAAGATACTCATCATAGAGACTATGCTAAACAGTAAGTTACAAAACAATCTGGCCTCATTTTTATTAAAAAAATATATATATATATATATACACACATATGTAGGACTTCCCTGCTGGTCCAGTGGTTAAGACTCCATGCTTCCACTGCAGGGGACACAGGTTCAATCCCTGGTTGAGGAAGTTCTACATGTCATGTGGTACAGGCAAAAAAAATTGAAAAACTATATATTTTGGTTCATATATATACACACACACACACACACACACAAACACACACATATTTGTGTATATGATGTCTAATCTCTAGACTAGTTTCTTTATCTGTATTTTCTAATTTTTTGTAATGAATATTATGGCTTACATATTTTTAAAAGATTCTTTGACAAGGCAAAAAAGTATCTTTCAAGTTCTGTATTGTACGCTAAGTGAACTTAGGAGAGAACACATCTGCATTTTTTGGTCAAGAAGAGGATCAGTGGATACTTGGCTCGCTCGCTCACTCAGTTGTGTCCTATTCTTCTGCGACCCCATGAACTCCAGCCCGCCAGGCTCCTCTCTCCATGGGATTTCCCAGGCGAGAATCCTGGAGTGGGTTCCCATGTCCTCCTCCAGAGGATCTTCCCAACCTAGAGATCGAACCCATGTCTCCTGCATTGGCAAGTAGATTCTTTTATCACTGAGCCACCAGGAAAGCCCCATCAGTGGATAATAGGTACTACTTGATACTACTTTATTTTACCCCAAAGAATATATTGCCAGCTCTGCAGAACTTCCTTTTGCAAAGTGATCCATCTCACAATCCATGCAGTTCTGGTAGGACTGTTCATCTTAGAGCCTCAACTGTGCCATGACGGCCTGGGTGGCCCCACAACCTATGGTGAGGCAGCAAACCATGTATGGAACCCTACTTCCTTCTCTACAATGACTTGTCTAAGAATGTGGGCAGAGCAGGGTCAACAAAAGCTCCTCCATGGAATCTGAAACATAAAAGCTAAAAGAAAAAAAAAACGTCCTCTCTTCTGAGATTGAGCATTAGGATGCCAGTGAGGGCTATTCTGCCACCAGACAGAGCCAAAAGATGGAAAAAGGAGACAGAGCTTGGACGCCCCTCATTTGATCCCCTGAAAGCAGCTTTATTTGAAGCCAGAGTACTCCAGACTTTTCAGTTGTGCCAATCAATAAATGCCACTCTCTCTCTGCCCTAAGCTATTTTGAAAAGGGTTTCTAACACCTGCAACCATAAAAGACCTAGAAAGGCACCAAGACAAAAGTAACTCTTCACAAGAAACTGTTCTCATAAGAGAAATGCAAAATGAGAAATAGAAAATAAGGATGTAAATATTTACACATACATTCTTTTTCCACATACATTTATTAATGCTCCCATAAAGCCATGGCAATCTCTTCCAGATCTAAGAGTCATTTTTCAGGGGCATATGATACAATTATCATTACTTCCTTCTTGAAACACTTTCTTTACTTGGCTTCCACATCATCAGGGTAATGCTCTTTCCTTCCTTTCTGTCAATTTCTTCTGTTCTTTACTGCCTCTCCTTCTCCGCAGTTGCGAGAGAATCCCTGTGTTCAGACCTTGGTCCTGATGGATTCTCTAGCCAAGCAAGAACTATATAATCACATGAAGTCCCCCCACTTTAAAATAATCTAATATGAAATGACTTCAAAATTTCTATAACCAGCCCCAAGCTTTTCCTAGAGCTCCACAGTCATTATTTATCATTATATTAACTGGCTGGCCAATATCTCCACCTGGATGTTTTCAGGTCCCTCAACTTGAATATGTTCAAAACAATTTTTGAGTTAGTCACAAAATCCTGTACTTCCCCAAGAGATCTTCTTATGAAACCGCAAAACCACATACCCAGTTACACAAGCCAAATGCTGAGAAATCTTTAACTTCTTCCCTGTCCCCATGTCCTAATTACTCAATAAGTCTTGCTGGCTGTTCCTTCAAGATTCAACCACTTTCCCCCATTTCCAGTATCATTACCCTAGCAGAGCTTAACATATTCTGCTGTCTGAACTACTGGGATAGGTACGAAATGAGTCCCTTGCATCTACTATGGCCTTCTTCAGTCAATTCACCTAGTAGCCAGAATAAACTTAAAAATACTAAGTTAGGTCTTGAAATCATCCTCAAAAACTCCATTAGCTCCCCACTGACATTTAAAATATAACCACTCAGGACTTCCCTGGTGATCCAGTGGCTAAGAACCCACCTTCCAATGCAAGAGACACAGGTTCAATCCCTGGTCCCAGAACTAAGATCCCACATGCCATGGAGTAACAAAGCCTGTTCTCCACAACTACTGAGCCCACAAGCCACACACAACAAAGACCCAAGCACAGTCAAACAATAAATTAATTAATTAAACTAAATAAAACACATACTGCTCATCCCCATTTTTGAGGCTCCCCATGATATGGCACCTGCTCTCTGGCTACACCTCCTACCACTTGTGTGGCTTACTCACTCTGTTCCACCTTGTCAACTGGTCATCTGCTGTTCTCTGATCAATCGCACTTTCTCCTGCCTCTACCTGGAATGCTCTTTCCCCAGATATTCACATGGCTGACTCCTTCCTCCTGGATTGAGACTAAAGAGCCTCTGTCTGTCTAAATGTCATTTCCTTAAAAAGGATGCTTCTGAATCCTTGCTGAAAGAGATCTCCACATTGCTATCGTTTTCTCTCCTCTTACTCTGTTTTATTCTTCTTCGTAACAGGTATCATGAACATTACATATTTATCATCTCCTCTCACTACACTATAAATCCCAAGAAGGTAGGAACCTGGAGTAGTGTTGAACATATTTATTTGCTGCAGAAAGATGGGGAGCGGAGAGATGAGAATGAATTGTTCATGGTGTTGTAAACTGATATGATCCCTCTAGTGAGTATCTCAACAAAATATATTAAAAGGCCACGAACATGTGCTTATCTATTTCAGATGGCTAGTGGGCTTTATCAGACACTCAGACTACTTCAGTTCTTTCCCCTGTGGTTCCGCCCAGGCTGAGGCCTGACCTCCCCAGGTCCCCAACTCCATGGAATCAGGAAAGGGTCAGCTCATCAAACAGCCCTCTCCCCCAGTGATGCTGGAGCAGGAAGAGAAACGAACAGCATACTTTTGGTGACGTTCAAATACACAAACAAAATAATGGGAGAATAGTTACCACTGGTTCAAATGCTTTTTTACTTTAAGGAAACAACTGTTAATACAGCAAACTATACGTATGGCTACGAAGATTTAAAGGACCTCTTTAAGCCAAAATATGCTTGTTAGTTGAATGGTAGTCATCCTTTTTGCTCAGGATAACTTTCACATTCTCTTTTTCCTGGAGGAGAGAAAAACAAGAAAAATCCCAATACACAGACTAAAACTTTGCTTCTTTTTTCCTCCAAACAGCAACTAAACAAATAGATACAAGAGCCACAGATTAAGGCAGGTGACACCTGATAATTTATCCTAAAAAAATTAATTATATGATAACAAAGCAAAGTCTGTATCTGCTTACAACTACTAGTGTGTGCTAAAAGCCAGATCAATAACTGGAAAGTAGAAGTTAGTAATCAGAGTGGGTGTTCTTATTTTTTTGATGCTCTTCTTTACCTGTATAATGGATATTATCTAGAAATATCTGTCTGGCTCACAAGATCTTTTTCCACAATAACACTTGTCTCTCTGGTCATAACTAACCAAACTACTAGTGGGTATCAGACTAGAGCTGGGCCAGAGGTGCTCCCCAAGGAGTTTGAAGTTAGAGCTGAAATAAGCAGACAGGATCTGTCAGGATACCCGCCTCCCTTCCTTGGTACTTCTCTCTCTCTCTTTCTCTGAACAGGCTGGTACTCTAACAAGTAGATCGAGATGCTGACTGACTGTGAACTCAGGAAGATGCCTTGCAGAGAGACACAGAGTAATGAAGCTAATGCACAGAAACACACAGAGATGACACATGAAAACTAAATACTGCTTCAATTCCTGGTAGATTTCAAGTTTCTGGACCCAGATCTTTCTGAGGGTCTGCTCAATTCCTACGCTTGCATTCCTTAAGACATCCCTTTATCCTTAAAATAAATTTCCTTTTGGTTTAAGGTAGCCCAAGCTGGTTTCTGTTACCTGCAATCAAAGAGTCCAAACTAATAATCTGGGTATAGTAATTATAATGTTATTTCCACATATGTTGTAGCATTTATTTTCTGGCATAATCCCTCCCCATAACTGGAAACAAACCCATTGGTATAATAACAATATAACTTGAAAGGAAGTAGATTCAGAAATGACAGTCTTAAACAAAAGAAGAAAAAAGAATAACTTCCCCAAAACAACTGAAGTCAGGAATCACCTCAAGGAGGACAGCAGGTTGCTTCTGAAGAACATCTGACTGTACACATTTTTAAGGGCAAATCCAAAAGAAAAAAACTGAGCCAAAGAAAACAGTGATTTTTCTCAATAATGCCAAGTAACTCTCCAGCAAGCACCAAAGCAAATTTATTAACAGTACACCAAACAGGAGGAGGGTGGGAACATTTCTGGAGACAATTTGCAGCTGTTGAGTTGGAGCAACCTGGCAGTGGCTTGCAAGAAGGCTACCATGGCCGTGAGGGACGAGCTTCAGCAGCGTTAAAGTTCAGTCTCTTTCTTCGCAGAAACAAAAACAGGTAATACACTGCTGCCGGTAAACCGAATTTGATTAGTCAAAATGGTGAAGAAAATGTGCACAGGAATAAGTATAACTCATTTTAAATACTTACATTCAAAAATTCACAAATACTTACATTTTTTGCCGTCATGTCAAACTGCATTCAATTTAAAATTCTGTAAAGCCATTAAAAAACAAATAAAAAAACTTCGTCTTCAATAATTCTTTAAAAGAATATCCTGTTAAAGGGAAAAAGAGGGAACAGTAATGTAATAGTCATCATCATAATAAGCAACATTTATGTCCTAATTACTATGTGATACTGTTTTTTAATTACCTAAATTAATCCTCATAACAACACTATGAGATGTGGACCATTCTGTCATTTTCCAGATAAAACTTGCAATTTAAAGATGTTAAGTAATTCAACCAAACCAACTCAGCTAAGAAGTGACAGAGCCTGGGCTTTGAAATATTATACTATGCTGGTGTAGATATCCACTGAAAGCAACACCAGGGATTCTGGGAGAAATAGCCAACTCTAGCAATGGGGCAGGAAATGCACAAGATAAACCTAGAACACTTTGAGTAGCTAAAGTAAGGAAAGACAGAGACATATTAAAAGTATACAGGAGACAGGTTAGAGAGTCCACAATATAAAGGGACAACTTAAGCCAGTTTAAAGGGGCAATTAAGCACTTAAGTACATACTAATAACAACAGACTGTAACAGATTCTAAACCCAATGAATAAAGTAATAATCCAAGAGTTCACATTTATAGAAACAAATAACATGGAAGGGAAACGTCTTCTTTGCAATACAATTCCAACTAATACGTACAAAGAAATGACGCAGTTAGAAAACCACCAATCTGTAAACACTGTGATATTAGGGATAAGCTAAGAATCATCAAAAGATGCTAAAATGATTAAATGAAATTTGATGAGAAAAAGGATATTTATATAGTCTTGAAATATTTCCCTACAAGATACCTCTTACATCAAATTTTACAGTAAAGAAACCTGGCACATACCACTACAGCCAAGGTGATGAAAGCTACCTATGACCAATAACAGAATAAACCAACATCATGCATCTCCCCAGGTGCACTGTGATGGACACAGTATCACTTATCAGGTATTTCCTAAAATGTATAATGATGAAGCAACGATGAAGCATGCAGTGATGTTTATATGCAAATTGAGAGACATTCTATGAAACAATGGCCTGAGTTCTTAAAAATACTAGTTTATCATGAAAAACAGAGGAGAGCTAAAGAAACATTACAGATTTAAGACTAAAGTCATATGAAAATTACATTCAACACATGATCCTGGACTGGACTTTGAATCACAAAAATAAACGCTATGAAGTCCATTACTGGGGCAACTGGAAAAAGTGAAACATGGTTTGCAGACTGGATAACTGTATTGTTTCATTTCCTGCTTCCGATCAGAGGATTGTGTGTGTGTGTGTGTGTTTTTTTTTTTAAGTGAATGGGCTTCCCTGGTGGCTCAGACAGGAAAGAATCTGCCTGTAATGCAGGAGACCCAGGTTTGACCCCTGGGTTGGGAAGATCCCCTGGAGAAGGGAATAGCTAGCTACCCACTCCAGTATTCTTGGATGGAGAACCTCATGGACAGAGGAGTCTGGAGTGCTACAGTCCATGGAGTAGCAAAGATTCAGACACAAGTGATTAACACTTTCACTTTTTCACTTTCCTCAACCTTAAAAAATATATATACCAAAATATTTACTAGTGAAAGGGTATGACAGAAAAAACATACCTTCAAATGATCAATAAATGTATATAATTTGTATATATAGAGAAAGTAGAAGTGATAAAGCATGTGTGGCAAAATGTTGACAAACTAGTGATTCTAGGTCAGAGGTATTCAAAAGATCTTTTCCTATTTCTGCAACTTTCCTCTTATTTTAAAATTATTTTGGGACTTCCCTGACGGTCCAGTGGTTAAGAATCTGCCTTGCAATGCAAAGAACATGGGTTCGATCCCTGGTCAGGGAACTAAGATCCCACATGCCACAGAGCAACTCAGCCTGTGTGCTACAACTACTGAGCCCTTGCACCGCAAATAGAGAATCCGTGCGCCGTTATGAAAGATCCCCCATGACATAAGGAAGATCCCACATGCCACAGCTTAGACCCAACAAAGCCACATTATAAATAAATATTTAAAAATAAACAAAATTATTTCAAAATTAAATCTTTAATAGGACATTCAAAGGGAAGAATAAAACTTAACTTTAAAAAGACCGTAAATAATAAGGGCTTAAAGCAATGGAGGCTCCCAACATCTGCCTCACATGCTAGAATTTGAATCTACAAGTAAAACTGTGGGGAAGGGGGTGGTGAGGAAACATTTTTACCTTTCACTGAAACAGTGTGATTTTTCCAATGATAAAGAAAACATATGTTTAAAAGCCCAAGTAAGACCTGAAGTACAGCTGTGATTTTTGCTTTCCCACTGTAGCAGCAGATTTGATCACATCTACCATGAGTAAATATGAAAATCAAGTTCCTACACTGGAACTGTTTCACATTTATCAATTATCTGTTATATACTCTTCAGTGTTACAAATATGAGATAGATGTTCCTGAAATCCCATCTCATTCACCAAACCAGCAATACGCCCAACTAAAACTACTACCTTCTGTCTCCCTCCCAGATGGGTTGGCCATGACATAATTCTGGTCAATGAAATATAAGCAGTCACTGTTAGGCTGAGCTACCAGATTCAGCTAAATGCCCTTTCCCCCTCCTCTCCCATTGCTTCATTTTCAGAGTATGGCTGTAATGGTTACAGCTCCTTGTCTCTGAGCATCTGCTTCCTTATTATACTCAGTGTTCCATACGGGATTATATTTCCTAAGGACTGGGTTAGTGAGTGGCACTGTTACTCATGCAAACAACAAGAAATTAACAAGGTATTATTACTTCAACACACAGTAACAAGAGGCGACCAATAAAAACACATCTTAGCTACAGTAACTGAGTTTAATAAGACAAAACATAATTTTGTTTAGTATTCCCTTTGCATCTTCTCACCAGAGGTAAGCACAAACTGTAACTTCTAAATGTTACCTAAATGATAAATGCTTGAAATAGAGCCAAAGTACATGAGTATCTTAAGCTCACTTATATTAACATCATTGTACTTCAATCTCTTCATCTACAAAATAGTAGTAGCACAATACATCTACTTAATTAAACAAGTCAAGACGTGGAAAATAATTTGGACACAGCCTAGCAAAAGTACTCATTAAGGAAAAAATGGCTCACTGACTTCTCATGACAAGTTAAGGTTTCTTCCTCCAAAATAAATAATACATAATTCACACATAGTAGAAGTGATAAAGACCACAACATAAATACAATTTCAAAGTAAGAGAAAAAAAAGCATTTAATTGTGGTTAAAAAAAAAAGCTCATCTAAAATTAACAAAGAGTAGACAATAACTTCATTCATTAATTTATCTACATTTACTGAACACACACTAGGAGCAAAATACTAATCCAGACACTAGAGAGCTCCTAATAAATGAGAGAAACAGTAAGCATAAATCTTCAAGTGTAATTTAAATTATATAAAATTACATTAAGATAAATGTTATAAAAACACATGGGACTATGACAGAGATCTTCATTCAATTAAAAATGAAGAAGTATGCTGCACTGGCTTTGAGTGACAGCCTATAACCTTTCAATTTAAAAATATACATTTCTAAGTTATCTTTAAAGCTTTTTGTCTTGTTTCTACACTGTCTTTAATCTAAATGTTATTTGCAACATATGACTTAAACCAAGGGCCTAAAAAATAAATAAACACAGCACGGAACGTTTCAACAAACAGCTACCTTGGCAGTACTGGCGATTGTCAAAGATTAAACCAGTCATGTGCACTGATGCATTATGTTTCATCCAGACTCAACAATTGTATACTTCTTCCTGTCACCATGTTCTTCTGTTGGTTAAAAAAATAAGTCGGATTTCTTCTTCCAGCTTCATGAGCACATTATGTCAAGCTCAAAAAGTCAATCTCAGTGACCTCACCATCTGCCATGATCTCTTGTCAGATTCAGATAATGCAACTCCCACAGATGGTCTCAAAAAAGCAAGCTCCTTTCCTTTCCAATCACAACTTAGCAGCTGTGGGCATAAAGCCTTTTAGATTTGTACAACATTAATCAAAATATAAGGAGGAAAGCAAAAATAATTATGAATACATTTACTGAACTAACGTCTCTTGAATCGAGATTTGCAGACACTGCTGAAAAGGATGTTCCTAAAAATTAAAATTTCAGCAAAATCAGCTGAAATGGAAGACAAAGCCTACTTAAATGGAAGATGGTAGTAATTTTAAATATATGCTAATGTTTCAAAGTTTGGAAAAATAGACACAACAATAAAACAGGTAACAAATAGCAGCTATAATTCCACCACTGAAATGCAACTACAGAGTTGCTTTTGATATAACTTTCTTCAGAATTCTCTTTTTGCACTCTAACTTTTGATAAAGAGGATTAATTAAAAGATATTTTCACAGGAAGTGACAGTATGTAACTTTTTTATTAGGTGATGAGAATATCTATCTAAGTGATTCACATATATTCTCTCATTCAATTCATACTGCAACTCTATCAGATAAATGTTAGTACTGTTCACATTTTACAAATGACAAAACTAAGCTTTAGAAAGTTGAATTAATTTGCCCAGTTAACCAGCTGTGCAAATGGCATTGCCAGAATATCAACCCAGGATCTCAGCCCAGCAGACATATTCTAAACCACTATGCTCCATTATAAAATATATTTTACCTTGAAAATATGACAAAATACATAATTATTATCACAATAAATCCATATATAGAAGGATAACTTACTTTACCAAAATAATTCTTTTCATACAGGACAAATCATCCATCATTGGGTCAAGTTTTTCCCCCTTTTTAAGGGTTCTATTTCTAAATTTCAATATGAAAGCTACAATTCTTTATTTTTCTGATTAGGTAGTAAATTTCCTCTCTTTTACAGCTATATAATATTCCTTTACATTGTTACACTGTAACTTATACCACCAGTCCTCTACTGGTGGACAGTTAGATTTCCTATGTTTTTATACTGGTGACAAT